TAAATCAGGCAAATAATATCTTTTTCTGAAGGAGGGTCCAGACCCGAAACATCAGCTTTCCTGCTCCTCTGACGCTGCTTGGCCTGCTGTGTTCATCCAGCTCTACACCATGTTGTCTGGAAAAATATCATATCACACCACACACACACACGCACGCAAAGAGACTCAGAGTATGGTCACAGACTGCTTCCAGGCCACACCAAGGGGGCAAGGAGACAAAACAAGCCCAAATACAGTGTCAGATTGTTCCTGTACAGCCCCATCCTGTTAGACCGACCCCCATGCGGTCAGACTGAACCCGCCGCCCCCCACCCCGGCTATCTCCTGTGGTCAGACTGACCCGACCCCACCACCCCCGAGTCTCCTGCGGTCAGACCAATTCCCCCCGTCCGTCTCCTGCGGTCAGACCGACCCCCCGGCCGTCTCCCGCGGTCAGACCGAACCCCCTGGCCGTCTCCCGCGGTCAGACCGAACCCCCTGGCCGTCTCCCGCGGTCAGACCGAACCCCCTGGCCGTCTCCCGCGGTCAGACTGTCCGCTGTCCTTCCATGCACAGGGCACCATGTCAGACCGTCTCCTCCCATTACTGATTACTGATTTTGCCCCACTCACTCGGGAAACGTACGTTTTGTCATCGGAGTCGCTCTCCGAAGACGCTGCCCTCTTTTTGCGGATGTGTTTCCGTTTTCTTTTGCTTTTGTTGTGGCTTTGCTTCTCCTCGGGTCCGCTGTCCTCACTGTCCTCCAGTAACAGGTAGGTCCGGTTCTTCTGCTGCAACGCGAGGGCCTCTCGCTCGACGGCACGTGCTGCCTTCTCAACTTTCTCTTTCCTGGGGATCTGAGCAAGGGAGGCCGGGCAAAGTCAGGTCCCTGCACATCACCTTTCCAAACCTGTAGTGTCTATCGCCTAGAAAGTCAAGGGCAGCAGGTATGTGGGAACACCACCCCCTGCAAGTTCCCCTCCATGCCACTTGCTATCCTGACTTGGAGCTACACCCTGTTACTGGGCTGATGGGCCGAGGAATGGCAGATGGAGTTTAATTTAGATAAATGTGAGGTGCATTTTGCATAAGACCAACTAGGGCAGGACTTACACAGTTAACGGCTGGGCCCTGGTGGGTACTGTAGAACAGAGAGAGACCTAGGGGTGCAGGCACATAGTTCCTTGAAAGTTGGCTCACAGGTAGACAGGATGGTGAAGGTGGTGATTGGCACACTTGCCTTCATCAGTCAGAGCACTGACTGCAGGAATTGGCAGGTCACGTTGCAGCTGTAAAAGATATTGGCAAGGCCACACTTGGAACACTGCGTGCAATTCTGGTCACCCTGCTATAGGATGGGTGCTATTAAACTGGAAATAGTGCAGAAAAGATTTACAAGGATGTTACCGAGACTGGAAGGTTTGAGTTATAAAGAGAGGCTGGATAGGTTGGGGCTATTTTCCCTGGAGTGTGGAGGCTGATTGGTGACCTTACAGAAGTTTTTAAAATCATAAGGGCCACAGATAGGGTGAATAGGCAAGGTCTTATCCCCAGGGTAGGGGAGCCCAAAACTAGAGGGCATTGGTTTAAGGTGAGAGGGGAAAGATTTAAAAGAGACCCAAGGGGCAATTTTTTTCACCCAGAGGATGGTGTGTGTACAGAACGAGCTGCCACAGGATGTGGTAGAGGTGAGTACAATTACAATTTAAAGGACATTTGGACAGGTATATGGATAAGAAGGGTTTACAGGAATATGGGCCAAATGCAGGAAAATGGGACTGGGTTGGTTTGGTTTGGGAAACCTGGTCGGCATGGATGAGTTGGGCCTATTTCCATGCTGTACGACTCTATGACTCTCGGTTAAAAACCCTGGAACTCTGTCTGTGACAGCACGGTGGCTGTTCCTACATCACACAGATTGCAGCGGTTCAAGGATGTGGACTACCATAAGCTTCAGGAAATTAGGGATAGGTAGCAAGTGCTGATCCAAGCCTTGGGTGACACCCACGTTCCATAAATTAATACTGAAAATTTCAGCTCAGCAATAAATCGATAAAACAGAACACATGATCCTCCAAAAAGCACTGTTCACCAAACACTGTCCGAGGGAGGGGGTGCAGCCTAGGAGCACAGCAAGCTGCGAAGGATGACAAGCCAAACCGGGGAGCCCAACGGCCTGCAACTCCCATCACCCTGCGCATGCCACAACCTAGTCTTGAACTCCACCCACCCTGTCCAGTCAGAGTATCTGTTACTCACCAGCACTATCCTCCCACTGTACCCCACACAGCACCCACCTTTGTCCAGAGCTCATCTGCAAAGCGTCGGACTCCCTGTGTGATGTCAATGGTTCCCGTCTCCTCCAGGCGCCGGATGAAGTCTGCCACGCTGTCGCTGCGCTGGGCAGTGCCAATCAGGAACTGTGCCACATACTTATCGCTCAGCCCCAGCAGCTGGTGAAGCTGGTCATTCACCCACTTCTCCAGCGAGGTCATGGTGGTATCTCTGCAAACAGCGAGCAGGTAAGCTTTTTCAAAAATAAAACAAAAACGCCGTCAGGAATTGGGGAGGGACAAATCAGTGGGCAAACGGATAGGGCGCGTATAGTTGGAGCAGACCCTGGGGTTTAAATGGTGTCTCTGGGCTACTGAGGACCCGGGGTTAACAGAAATCTGCGTAATGTGGACCAGGAGTAATTGGGGAACCCTGCTAATGGCAACGTGGATGACTGGGGAACCAGTTAATGGGGAACCTTGGGTAGATGTGAAGCTGGTTAATGGGGATGAGGGGTCATTGCAGAACTTGGTTAATATAGACCCGGGTAAAGTGTGAACCTGCTTAATCGGGACCCAGGGTAAAAGGGGTCAATGTTAATGGGGACAAGAGGTAAATGGAGAATATGGTTAATGTAGACACAGGGTAAATGGGGAACCTGTTTAACGGGGACCAGGGTTAAATGGGGAACCTGTTTAATGGGGACCAGGGGTAAATGGGGAACCTGTTTAATGGGGACCAGGGTTAAATGGGGAACCTGTTTAATGGGGACCAGGGTTAAATGGGGAACCT